GCCGTGCGCGCGTGAACAGCTGTCGTTCAGTTGTTGCGCAACCACCCGCTGCCGGCTGCCGCAGCCGCTGTCTTCCTCCTCCGGGGACGGGGGCGGGGCGGGGGCTGCCGGCCGACATCGCCGTGCGCGCGCGGCTCGGCGGGGCGGTCTAATCGGACATAATACGAGAGAAAAAGACGGCATATTCAGGAATAATGGAGAGGGATTCCCGGTCAGTATCGCTGGGTCGCGCGATCGGCGCGGGACTCGTTTCGGGAAAATTAGACCTACTCAAGTAGTCCATAAGTCCTCATCACTTATTTGGCTCGCACGGCGGCGTGCAGTGCGCTGCCGTGGCAGTCAGCAGCATAAAAGACTTTTGTGGTCAGCAGCGGCAGGGTCTGGTGCTCCGTGCCCTCCTTCATATGTCGCGCAGGATGTGTGGGCCGCACAGTGTGTCCGGCCGGCCCAGCCCGCACCCAGTAGCTACTCCCAGTACGTAGTGCCAGGGCCCAACAGTCGTAAGAGTGTGTTTGCGCCCGGTAGCGAGGCGTGGCGTGGCGTGGCCGCACTCCGCGATAGGCTGCGCCCTGGGCGCCCCCATTACGTCACGCCACAGCTCCTCCGCGCCACGACATTGTTTGTATTGTTTGTCGAAATTAATACGCGCCTTACGTCCTGTGTGGTGGTGGGCTGGGAGGAAAGGGTGTGCGGGGGGGGGGGCGTTATCAAATCAATAACGTGCCTTTCTCTAGGCTTACACAATGCCGGGGCTGGTCCCGCCCGGCTACGCCCCGCCACGCCCCGCCACACCGCGCCGTGAGCAGCGACACGGCCGCACACCGCTCTCCTCTCCTTCCCTTCTCCACCACGATGAAGGATTTCAACTCGAGACTCTCCAAATGACGTCACTGTGACGCGCTGCCAGACAATGCGTGTCAATTGTCAATTCGCTTTCGACTGTCCCTTTATTTCGCCTCGGGGAAGGACCGCGGGCTTGCTTCTTGGGGTCGGACGCGGCAAGGAGGACTAAAGGGGGACTTTTTGCGAGCGCGGGGCGCGCAGGAGTCGGGGGACGCGATGCTACGCGACGCGCGTGCAGGCAGCACAGTCTGGATGGATGCAGCCTGGTGGTGCTGCTGGGGTGCAGCCGACACCGGGACGAAAAAAATGGAAGGGGGCGAGGAGGAAAGGGGGTGAGGTAGGGGGTGAAATCAAAACGAGGGGTTAGCCGGCTGATCCTCCACGCAGGGAAGAGGAGGAGGGGGAGGGGAGGCAGGGTGAGGAGG